TGGGTTTTATCTTGCCAAAGTTTGACAGGCTTTTAATCCTTGGTGATTTTAACATTCATGTATGTTGTCTGGCTGGCCCTTTGTGTAAAGATTTTTTAAGTACTATTGACTCTTTTAACCTCACCCAGTTGGTGCATAGCCCTAGACATGAGCTCGGACATACTGTACACTGGACCTCGTGATTTCTCATGGGCTGCCTGTTGCCATTACTGAAGTATGCGGCTCTCGATTTTCCGATTATTTCCCTCTCTTATTTAATATTAATGTGCCTCCACAGTCCGATAAACCCTCTGTTCCTGCTGGTATCAGACGCTCAATCACCTCTTCAACAGCAGGAGAGTTTTCTACTTGCTTCAAAAATTCTGGTCTGTATCTGATGGGTGATGTGTCCTCCTACATGGATCCTGAGGAAGTATTAACTCTATTAACCTCCACCTGTCAGGATATATTGGATTCTATAGCTCCCCTCCGATGTAGACTGGCTAAGCCGAAGGTTGGAACCTTGGCTAAATGACTTAACTCGGAAACATAGACGAAGATGTCGTAAAGCTGAAAGTTAACGGAAGAAGGACAAACTTTATGTTTCTCTTCGCCATTACAGGGACTGCTTGTCGGACTATCAGATTGTGGTGAAATCTGCAAAATTGAACTGTCTTTCTAACATTGTGGTCAGTAATCGTCACAAACCTCAGGTTTTGTTCTCTACAATCAACCCTGTTATTAACCCATGTAACCTTACTTCTCATCCTGACACGTCTGTTGAAATATGTGAGGGTTTTCTACATTATTTCACTAACAAAATTGCCAGCATTAGGCAGTTCTCCACTACCACTTCTTCTGACTCACTTGACTTTTCCCTGCCTTCTGCTGTTTTTGACCAATTTGAGACTGTTTCATTGCCTTGTGTTATCAGAAGTGGTTTTACAAATGAAAACATCTCACTGTTCACTTGAATTCCTGCCAACAAGATTATTCAGGCATGTTTTTATCTATTGGTCCTAGCTTTCTGGCCCTAATTCATTTTTGACTACAGGCTCAGTTCCAGATGCTTTTAAACAAGCAATTGTCCAGCCTCTTCTTAAAAAGCCAAATCTTGATCCTTCCGTGTTTTCCAATTTTAGACCAGTGTCCAAATTATCTATGTCGAAAGTTTTCGAGAAGATTGTTCTTATTCAGCTCCAGTCTTTTCTGACAGATAATGGCATTGAGGAGCAATTCCAGTCTGGGTTTAAATCAAAACACAGTACTGAGTCTGCGCTATTAAAAATTAATAATGACATTTTGTTGGCCAGGGACTCTGGGGATCTAGTTCTGTTGGTGCTTTTAGAAATGACTGCTGCCTTTGATACAGTGGATCATGAAATCCTCATATCTCACCTGGAACAGTGTATAGGAATTCGTGATACTGTTCTTAATTGGTTTAGATCTTACCTCATGAATAGAAGTTTTTCTGTTAATATTGGTAACTGTTCCTCCTCCTCAACTATCCTCTCCTATGGTGTCCCCCAGGGGTCTGTACTCGGCCCAACTCTCTTTTCCCTGTACATGCTTCCGCTGGGATCACTTCCAAGGAGATATGGGTTCTCTTTTCATTGCTATGTGGATGACATCCAGATATACTTACCATTACAAGCAGCTGGAGGGACGTCTCTACAGCCATTGTTTGACTGTTTGACTGACCTGAAAGCCTGGCTGGCTCAGAACTTTTTAAAATTAAATGAGAAAAAGACTGAGTGTGTTTTATTTGGTGATCTGGCAAAATTTGCTGCTTTTAATCACGACTTATGCCCCCTGGCTCATCATTTGAAGACGACTGTACAAAACCTAGGGGTATTGTTTGATAGTGACTTAAGATTCGACAAGCAGATGGACTCAGTCGTAAAATCTAGTTTCTTTCACCTGAGGTTACTAAGTAAAGTCAAGTCATTTCTTTCTTTTAATGACTTTGAGATTGCAATTCATGGTTTTACAACCTCTAGACTGGACTATTGAAACGCATTATACCTTGGTGTTAATCAGTTGTCTCTCTCTCGTCTTCAAATGGTCCAAAATGCTGCTGCTCGTCTTTTAACAAGTACTAGGAAATTCAACCATAGAACTCTGGTACTGGCCTCTCTTTACTGGCTTTCAGTCCGTTTTAGAATTCATTTTTAGCTATTGATTTTTGTTTTCAAGGCTCTTAATGACCTCGCTGAGTTGGTGAGGTGGCACAAACCAACTAGATTACTCAGATCCTCAAGCCAGTTTTTGTTAGAGGTGCCCAGGGCCAGATACAAATGCTGGGGTGACCGTGCTTTTGTTGTTGCAGCTCCTAAATTGTGGAATGTTTACCTCTTAATGTTAGATCATCTACAGACTTGACAACTTTTAAATCATTGGTTAAAACATATTTATTCACTTTGGCTTTTAATACATAGTATCGTCTGATGCGTCCTCCTTTTATCTCTTGATTCTGTGTACTTGGTGTTTTTATGTTCCTATGTTGTTTTATTTCTCTGTTGATATTTTTTACTCTCGATTTGCATTTCCGTGTAAAGTACTTTGGTCGACCAGACATTGTTTTTAAAGTGCTATACAAATAAATTTTGATTTGATTTGAAATTTTGGTGCATAGGTCCCTGGAGAGTCAAGGTGTTGCAGGATGTAATGCAGTGCCACGTTCACTGCATTGTCCACCAACAATTGTCATATTTGTATAAAATCCTGCAATATTACGTTACGATTTTTAGGTTTCTGATGTTTTCTTTCCCAGTTCAGTAACAGCTTTGTCTTATACACAAATGCTCATGTACCACTGCCTATGAGGAGGAGGGGGTCAAAGTGCAACTGGTGTTTACGACAGTTGGGTACGGCTCAGTTACACACAACAAGTGTAGGGGGAGAGAAACTGCCAGGTCATGTACTGCTGCTTTAGGGCACTTAAAACATACATTTACAAACCACTGTTTTTAACTGAAACCATATGGTACTCAGGAAATATACAATGAAGTTTAATTAGGCTACAATGCTAGAATATGTATTTTAACCTAAATGCATAAATATGGTTCATTCTAAAATGGCAGGATATGGATGATACAAATGTGGTGAAATGTATTCCTTCTTACAAATCTAACACTACTTATTAATTCTAAACTTGATAATTCCACAACAAGTACAGCTTAATGTAAGCCTATTTTAGGTGACTATCTCTTTGATATTATTAATGGTTAACTATTTGTTTTATTTCAGTGCTCTATTTAATACAGTCATTGAAATACTGTGAATGAGACCAAATTAGTTTGTGATTGTTTTTTTTTTATAATGAAAAGTAGGCCCCTTTGGTTCCACTTCCATGTAGGACAGTGATCAAAATGACAAGGCAGTTCATTGAACTTGGCATTTAATTAATTTGCTAAAATTAAACATTCAACATTAAATGTATACAGTGCCTTGCGAAAGTATTCGGCCCCCTTGAACTTTGCGACCTTTTGCCACATTTCAGGCTTCAAACATAAAGATATAAAACTGTAATTTTTTGTGAAGAATCAACAACAAGTGGGACACAATCATGAAGTGGAACGAAATTTATTGGATATTTCAAACTTTTTTAACAAATAAAAAACTGAAAAATTGGGCGTGCAAAATTATTCAGCCCCCTTAAGTTAATACTTTGTAGCGCCACCTTTTGCTGCGATTACAGCTGTAAGTCGCTTGGGGTATGTCTATCAGTTTTGCACATCGAGAGACTGAAATTTTTGCCCATTCCTCCTTGCAAAACAGCTCGAGCTCAGTGAGGTTGGATGGAGAGCGTTTGTGAACAGCAGTTTTCAGTTCTTTCCACAGATTCTTGATTGGATTCAGGTCTGGACTTTGACTTGGCCATTCTAACACCTGGATATGTTTATTTGTGAACCATTCCATTGTAGATTTTGCTTTATGTTTTGGATCATTGTCTTGTTGGAAGACAAATCTCCGTCCCAGTCTCAGGTCTTTTGCAGACTCCATCAGGTTTCCTTCCAGAATGGTCCTGTATTTGGCTCCATCCATCTTCCCATCAATTTTAACCATCTTCCCTGTCCCTGCTGAAGAAAAGCAGGCCCAAACCATGATGCTGCCACCACCATGTTTGACAGTGGGGATGGTGTGTTCAGGGTGATGAGCTGTGTTGCTTTTACGCCAAACATAACGTTTTGCATTGTTGCCAAAAAGTTCGATTTTGGTTTCATCTGACCAGAGCACCTTCTTCCACATGTTTGGTGTGTCTCCCAGGTGGCTTGTGGCAAACTTTAAATGACACTTTTTATGGATATCTTTAAGAAATGGCTTTCTTCTTGCCACTCTTCCATAAAGGCCAGATTTGTGCAGTATACGACTGATTGTTGTCCTATGGACAGAGTCTCCCACCTCAGCTGTAGATCTCTGCAGTTCATCCAGAGTGATCATGGGCCTCTTGGCTGCCTCTCTGATCAGTCTTCTCCTTGTATGAGCTGAAAGTTTAGAGGGACGGCCAGGTCTTGGTAGATTTGCAGTGGTCTGATACTCCTTCCATTTCAATATTATCGCTTGCACAGTGCTCCTTGGGATGTTTAGCTTGGGAAATCTTTTTGTATCCAAATCCGGCTTTAAACTTCTCCACAACAGTATCTTGGACCTGCCTGGTGTGTTCCTTGTTCTTCATGATGCTCTCTGTGCTTTAAACGGACCTCTGAGACTATCACAGTGCAGGTGCATTTATATGGAGACTTGATTCCACACAGGTGGATTCTATTTATCATCCTTTGTCATTTAGGTCAACATTGGATCATTCAGAGATCCTCACTGAACTTCTGGAGAGAGTTTGCTGCACTGAAAGTAAAGGGGCTGAATAATTTTGCACGCCCAATTTTTCAGTTTTTTATTTGTTAAAAAAGTTTGAAATATCCAATAAATTTCGTTCCACTTCACGATTGTGTCCCACTTGTTGTTGATTCTTCACAAAAAATGACTGAGTTTTATATCTTTATGTTTGAAGCCTGAAATGTGGCAAAAGGTCGCAAAGTTCAAGGGGGCCGAATACTTTCGCAAGGCACTGTAAACTCCCAGGTATTTGCAGGCATGAAACTTACCAGCATCCTCCCCAGAATGGGAAGTTTTATACTGAGTTCAGTTTTATACTGAATGTGTGTCTTCTTGGTAGAAACTTGGCTATGTATGTACCTGTAAACTTGTCTTATCATAGTTGGTAAAATCAGCACACCTCTGTGTAACACCTTGTGCTCTTCTTCAGCTGTATGGCTAACCTGATCTCGTACCTGAAGCTCCTCTCCATCCTTCTGATCGTCATGGGTCAGAATCCCTTCATCCTCCTTGGCCTTCACACTCCCAGAGCCTGGACCTGGAGTCAGGACAACAAGGTAGCTGTCCTTGTGGCAACAGATGCTGCAGCTGGTTACCACAGCAACAGCTTTAAACCATGACATCACTGTGTTTACTGTTTCTCAGATCTTCTCATGTCTGATGGCCTTCTTTCTCTGTAACATGATGGAGACTCACTTCCTGTCTACTGGAGCCTTTGAGGTCACTCTGAATGGTGAGTTCTGATTGGTAGAAAAAAATAATGACATCACTAGGCAGAACGGAGATGGAGGAAGGACGGTCTGCAAGTTTCATTAGGCATACTGAGAGACACCCGGTTTGCATACCAGAGAGCTGTGAGCGCAGCTAAGTCCCAATATCTATCCAACATTATCTCTGAAAATACACATCAGCCTAGAGTAATGTTTAAAACCGTCAATGCAGTTATTAATCCTTCCAATGCTTTATTTCGTGAGACCTCAAGTACTGTCTGTAATGAGTTTTTAATGTATCAAGGTGAAAAGTCCCGAGTCATCAGGCAGGGTGCCCCGCATTCTTCTTCTTATGTCTTACCTGTCTCCCATCTCTCTCATACCTTCACTTCGTTTTCACAGATATCTATAATACAACTTAAGAAATGTGTGTGTCTACTGAAATCTGCAGGGTCCCCTTTGGACCCCCTACCTGGAAAGATTTTCAAAGAGTCGATTGACATCATTGG